AATGTTTTTATCAGCCCAGGATACCCGTACCAATTAAGTAAACACTTCCCATTCTCTCCTTACCCAATCTCTAGACAACTGCTACTCTGCTTTCTCTGTGGATTGGCCTCCTGTTCTGGATATTTCATACAGAATGTCATACAGTATGAGACCTTTTGTGTTTGGCTTCTTTCACATAGCGTGTTGAAGCATGTGTCATTTGTATGGCTGAGTAATATTTCATTGTATGTATATATCACAATTTATTCATTGTAGATGGATGTTTGGCTTGTTTCCACCTTTTGGCTATTATGAATAATGATGCTATAANTAAATCTTTAATCCATTTTGAGTTGATTTTAGTATATGGTGAGAGGTATGGGTCTAGTTTCATTCTCCTGCATATGGATATCCAGTTCTCCCAGCACCATTTGCTGAAGAGGCAGTCCCGACCCCAGTGAATAGGCTTGGTGCCTTTGTCAAAGATCAGATGGCCGTAAGTGTGTGGGTTGATTTCTGGATTCTCTATGATAATCCTTTCTAATAAGGTGGGTGATAAACACTTCAAATCCTTGAATTACCAAAAGTGGTTTTACTTTGTTCCTACTCATGAATGGGTGCATTAGTTGTAGAGAGATTTCTATTTGAAATTATTTGCCTACCAACATCCAGTGTGCTGATGTCAATCTGATCCCTTTCTAACTAGTTTGCTGGCCTTCAAAACTTTTTCTTCATGCTTGATGTTCTGAAATTTCAGCTGAAGTTCTTTTTTTAATTCATTCTCTTGAATACTTAGTTCTTTCAATATGAGAACCCCTGTCTTTCTTTGGTTCTGGGAAATTTATTTCTCTCTTGGTCTCTCTCTCTCTTTCTCTCTGTCTCTGTCTTTCTCTGTCTCTGTTTCTCTCTCTCTCTTCTCTTTTTTTTTTATTCTAGTAATTCTTCCTCAGATGTTCATCCAACAAATATTTACTGAGACACACTAGGATCCAGGTGCTTTTCTAGTTGCTGGAGATTGAATCTGGTGCCTCTGTCATGATATAAGCCTTCTACCTGGATTTGTGATTCCGATGGAGAGCTCGTCCTTGTCTGTAGCTGATAGGTTCTAAACATCCTTTATTGGCAGCCAGATATATTTTATTTCATGTGCAAAGTGCCTTAAAATTTGGAAAGATTGACATAACATCCAGGTTCCCAGATTCTCTGGACCTTTGCGACTAACAGACATCACTGGACTCTGATCTGCTTTTCCTTTTTTTTTTCCCAATGGTTGGCCAATTAGGAGCTGCTGCCTAAGGCAGGCCATGTTCTTCTGTATTATTTAACTCCACGCTATTTCACTCCTACTCCCATTTGAGTTTCTGACCTCTGATCTAGTCAAGAAAGCCCTCTTACTTCACAAAGGAGGAAACTGATGTTGAGAAAGTAAAGCAACTTTCTCAAGGTCAAATAGCTAAAAATAGACAAAAAGCAAGCAAGAGACTGAATCTGGAGGGTTTTCCTTTGCACTTAAAAAGCTTCTGCCAAACACAGACCCCAAGGGATTCCAGCCCAATCCTTTTCCCAAGTGCCAAGGTCAGGTAGTATCAGTTCCATTTCCTTTCTTCCCACCTCCTTCCATTCTCGTTTCATTCTGGGCAGGATTCTCTCTGCATTACTGTAATCTGGGCATTCTCTTTGCCTCTGTCCTGTGTCTAATCCCCATTCCCAGGAACCAGGGATTCTTGTTCTTTGTATCTTTCTCTTGTTTTGCTAAAACACATGTTCCAGGAGCTTCCTAAGAAAGAGTTAATGGGGAGTAAAATTTTCAAGACTTTGAGTATCTATTCATATCTCTATTCTGCCTTCACAGTTGATTGATAATTCACTGGAGTACACAATTCTATATTTTCCCCTGAAATCCACTTTTACTCATGTAGAAAAAAATTCCCAAAGAATAGAGAAAGTCGCCCTCCCTCTGCAGAGCCCCAGGGTGGGCACGCGGATAAAGATGGCGAAATGGGGGTAGCTGGCGCTGAACCTAGAGTGATGGGCTGGCAGGTGGGGCCGTTGTCGGATCGCCTTGACGTGGTGCCGGGCTGTTCTCGGCCATTTGACCTGGCTACCCCGGGCCAGCGCCTAGCAGGTCAGACCACCGACTCCGCGGGTCCCCAAGGGCCCCGCCGTGAGCCGAAGGCAATGGACGAACAGAGCGTGTTTTATTTGTATGGAGAAATTGCGGGATGCACGCCTGTGTCCTCATTGTTCCAAGCTTTGTTGTTTCAGCTGTATTCGGTGCTGGCTGACAGAGCAGAGAGCTCAGTGTCCTCACTGCCATGCTCCGCTCCAGCTATGAGAACTAGTAAACTGTCGTTGGGCAGAAGAAGTAACACAGCAGCTTGATACTCTTCAACTCTGCAGTCTCACCAAACATGAAGAAAATGAAAAGGACAGATGTGAAAATCACCATGAAAAACTCAGTGTATTTTGCTGGACTTGTAAGAAGTGTATCTGCCATCAGTGTGCACTTTGGGGAGGAATGCATGGTGGACATACCTTTAAACCTTTGGCAGAAATTTATGAGCAGCATGTCACTAAAGTGAACGAAGAGGTAGCCAAACTTCGTCGGCGTCTCATGGAACTGATCAGCTTAGTTCAAGAAGTGGAAAGAGGGCCGGCCCGTTAGCGCACTGCTACAGTGCGCCGCTTGGGAGTGCGGCGGCGCTCCCGCCGAGGGTTCGGATCCCACATACAGACCGGTTCCCACTCACTGGCTGAGCGAGGTGCAGGCACAGCAACACTGAGGGTTGCGATCCCGTTGCCGGACACGAAAAAAGACAAAAAAAAGGAAAAAAAAAAAAAAAAAGAAGTGGAAAGAAATGTAGAAGCTGTAAGAAATGCAAAAGATGAGCGTGTTCGGGAAATTAGGAATGCGGTGGAGATGATGATTGCACGGTTAGACACGCAGCTGAAGAATAAGCTTATAACATTGATGGGTCAGAAGACATCTCTAACCCAAGAAACAGAGCTGTTGGAATCCTTACTTAGGAGGTGGAGCACCAGTTGTGGTCTTGTAGTAAGAGTGAGTTGATATCTATGAGCTCAGAAATCCTCATGATGTTTCACAAGTTCATCGAAAGCCGATGGCATCCTTTGTTACCACTCCTGTTCCACCAGACTTTACCAGTGAATTAGTACCATCTTACGATTCAGCTACGTTTGTTTTAGAGAATTTCAGCACTTTGCACCAGAGAGCAGATCCTGTTTACAGTCCACCTCTTCAAGTTTCAGGCCTTTGCTGGAGGTTAAAAGTTTACCCAGATGGAAATGGAGTTGTTCGTGGTTACTATTTATCTGTGTTTTTGGAACTCTAAGCTGGCTTGCCTGAAACTTCCAAATATGAATATCGTGTAGAGATGGTTCACCAATCCTGCAATGATCCTACCAAAAATATCATTCGAGAATTTGCATCTGATTTTGAAGTTGGAGAATGCTGGGGCTATAATAGATTTTTCCGTTTGGACTTACTTGCTAATGAAGGATACTTGAATCGACAAAATGATACAGTTATTTTAAGGTTTCAGGTACGTTCACCAACTTTCTTTCAAAAATGCTGGGACCAGCACTGGTATATTACCCAGTTGGAAGCTACACAGACTAGTTATATCCAACAAATAAACAACCTTAAAGAGAGGCTTGCCATTGAGCTGTCTCGATCTCAGAAATCAAGAGATTTGTCACCACCAGCTAATCATCTCAGCCCCCAGAATGACGATGCTCCTGAGACACGAGCTAAGAAGTCTGGGTCATGCTCGGACATGCTTCTTGAGAGTGGTCCTACTATACTTTCTGTAAGAGAGGCCAAAGAGGATGAAGAAGATGAGGAGAAGATTCAGAATGAAGATTATCATCATGAGCTTTCAGATGGAGATCTGGATCTGGATTTTGTTGGTGAAGATGAAGTAAATCACCTCGGTGGCAGCAGTTCCTCTGCTAGTTCCACAGCAACAAGTAATACAGAAGAGAATGACATTGATGAAGAAACTATGTCTGGAGAAAATGATGTGGAATATAACAACGTGGAATTGGAGGAGGGAGAACTGATGGAAGATGCAGCTGCTGCGGGACCTCCAGGTAGTAGCCATGGCTATGTGGGCGCCAGTAGCAAAATGTCAAGAAGAGCACATTTATGCTCTGCCGCTACCAGTAGTCTACGAGACATTGATCCCTTAATTTTTTTTTTCCTTTTTGTCTTTTTTCGTGACCGGCAACGGATCGCAACCCTCAGTGTTGCGCCCGCACCTCGCTCAGCCAGTGAGCGGCCGGTCTGTATGTGGGATCCGAACCCTCGGCGGGAGCGCCACCACGCTCCCAAGCAGCGCACTATAGCAGTGCACCACCGGGCCAGCCCGATCCCTTAATTTTAATACATTTGTTAGACCTTAAGGACCGGAGCAGTATGGAAAATTTGTGGGGCTTACAGCCTCACCCACCTGTTTCACTTTTGCAGTCCACAGGTAAAATAACAACAATGATAATTCCTTTTTTCTGTTGTTCACTAAAAGAACTCTTGGATTTTCATCCGAGTATTTTATTTATCTAAGTGTTAGAAAATGGTGAATTTCTGTAGCAAATTGATTTTTTATTATATGACATAAA